ATGAAAAATGAATCCAAAGATTTAGAGTTCATTTGAAGTGTTGAATTTAAATTTGTCTGCTTTTCACTAGAATCTCAATTTGATGTTCAAAGACTTAAAGTAAAGTAGGCCAAATTATGCTGAATAAACCAACATAAACCTGTTAAAAAGAATAGGAGTGACCAAATCAAAGTTATTAAAAAGAATGAATGCACAGGCCAGCTCGATAACACCAAAAGGCTTAAAAGAGCACAGAAGACAACTAAAGGAGATCATGGCAAAAATGTTTCCTCCACAACATCACAACACTCTCAAGAAGGTCATTGTACCATTATGGAAGTCTATAACGTAGATGTGCCTTCTTTACTGGAAATGCAAAGAGTTTACAACAAGGTGCAAACCAGTCACCTAATCTCAACACAACAGAGCCTTCTTTGTAGTTATTAAATGCAATGCAGCAACTGAATATTGATGCAATAAAGACCTGTGAGAACATTTTAAGTGAAGACACGGTTTTTGATTTCCATGGGTTTTAGACTTCAAGCAGCCACCAAGAACAAAGGAGTTTTTAATCCAAGTTTTAATAACAGTCCTTAAATGTAAAAGTTTGCCTCTGCCTTTGTCTCTAACTCCTAAACTGTAAATGCAAAACCGTAGTTAATCCTTCGAATTAAAGTCAGCACTTCAACCACATCTTAATTGTTCAAGTTAAAATCCATTGTGGATTGGTTCTGCTGGCAGCTGGGCAAAATTACAACAAAAACACAACAGAAATGTTATTACAAAGCAGGCATAACTGTAGGGAAGTGACTTGAAAACTAGAGAAATAAAAGAAGGTCTTCATTTTGTGCAGTTTAGCAGCTGCTTCACTGCAGGCCTGACAGCTTGTATTATTGATTCTGTGTTGTTTTAATAGGAGAGAGATGGTTGGGGTGATGGAGCCAGTGCCAAGAGATGAGACTTACTGTGACCCACCCGCTCTGTTCCATGTGTCTGGAGACTTTTCATTCATCAGGTAACAATCCCAATCTAAAGCTGCATTTTGTGTCAGTAACACTGCAGATTGTGGATTGACTTAATTCTTAAATTATAGCAGTTATGACCATTTGGTGCAGTTCCCAGTTCACTTTAAACTGAACCTGTGTGTGTGTGTGTGTGTGTGTGTGTGTGTGTGTGTGTGTGTGTGTGTGTGTGTGTGTGTGTGTGTGTGTGTGTGTGTCCATTTGTTACTGCTTTCGATCCAGGTACTTCACACGAACCATCTACCAGTTTCAGTTCCAAAAAGCGCTCTGTGATGCGGCCGGTCACACAGGCGACCTGTCTGCATGTGACATCACTAATTCTATCGAAGCAGGAACCAAGCTAAGGTGCATACAACTTCCCTTTCTTCATTCTTCATTCTTCATTTCTTCAGGATTTCAATTTTGCTCTAGCACATTGTATTACTTTTTTGTTCTTCACATCTAAAAGTGGTGGAATAATTTATCATCATCATCATCCTCATTGTTTTCTTCTAGGAATATGTTAGAACTTGGAAGGTCTAAGTCTTGGACCAGGGCTTTGCAAGCAATATCTGGTGACACAAAGATGGATGCCCAACCTCTGCTGGACTATTTCCATAAACTTTATGAGTGGTTGCAGGCAGATAACAAGAAACGCAACAGGGTGGTAGGCTGGAGTGAAGATCCATGTAAGTACAAAAGATACCCAAAATGAAAGTTATTAGCACTAAAATCATCTATCTGGAGTAATAGTATTTAGTGTTTCTTGAGATTGATACCGCTCTTCCTGATGCCACTACTTGATAAAAGACTGGATGTGGGAAGGAAACTCTCTGTAGTCTGTACTTGCACGTGTAAAGTGCATTGAATTATTTGTACACAAACTTTAGAACTGACAGTAATTTACTTGAATCTAGTTGTCATCGTCCAGCATAATACAGCTTTCAAAATGCCGGGTTTTTTTTTTACAATTAGCTTTTTATACTCAAATAAGACAACATTTTAATTAGTGTCACAGTCTTCTGTTCCCAACCATATGTCCTTAATTTATCACCTAACTTCTCACACTTTTCCTGGTCCTGTTAGCCTTTAAGCTTTCATCGATTCTTAAAATCTTAAAATCAAAAGTCAGCTTTTGGGTCCTCACCCCTACAGCTATCTGTTCTTCCTTATTTCTAGACTTTAAGCTAGTTAATGTAATATGCTGGAGCACATTTATCATACAGGTATACATCTTTAAAATGTCTTTAACTGATTGTTGTTCCCATTACAGATCCAGAATATTCAATTAAAGTGAGACTAAGTTTAAATTCTGCAATGGGCGATGATGCTGTGAGTACTAAAAATTGTCATTGAGCTAGAAATCTTGCAGGAATTCTGCACTTATGAAGTTAAATACTGTCTGTTTAACGTCATGCCCATTGTTTTGCTTTTTTTATGTGTTTCAGTACCCCTGGAATGCCAATGAGCTTTACCTGTTCCGGGCCAACATTGCTTATGCCTTGAGGCAGTACTACAGCCAGAAGAACAAGACTCTTCCTTTCACGTCAGTATGAGGTCGATATTTTGTGCTTTAAGCAAAACAAAAAAATTGTTTGGTTTGAGTTTTCTCTGTTTGCACATGCAGAACAACTAATGTCATCACCTATAAGGAGACTCCCAGAATCTCTTTCTACGTTGTCGCCAAAAACCCAAATACACCCACTGAATTCATCCCAAAGAATGAGCTGAAGGAAGCCATCAGGTGAGGATCAAGTGCGTGAGTGGCTAAATACAGAATATCCAAAAGCACTGAGCTCAGCATCCTAAGGTAGCTGCAGTAGCCAAGCTAATTCATTTATTTAAAATCTTTTTAGTTGCAGTTTTTAGCTGGATGGAAATGTTGAACTTCAGTAACATGGCACAAATTGCCATCAAATTGCTCATTTATTCACACATCCATGGTCTTTACAGGATTAGTCGCGGGTGTCTTTGGTGATCATCTGACTTTTCATCCATACTATGGCTCAAACCTTTTTCTTATGAAATGAATTGTAAACTCTTTAAAATATTTTTAAAAATGTCTTGGCACAGCTATAACAACAGCATAAATTTATAACATATTATTTTTTTTATTTTTTATTATAAGAGTTGTAATTTAACTGCCTCCTGCTACACCTGAAATAACCAACCTGGCAGTCATGTCGCCTGTGCCTGTTTATGAGTTGTAAAGCAATAGTAAAGTCATTTAAAATCTATTCCAGGTTAGCTCGAGGCCGGATCAACGACGCCTTCAATTTAGGTGATAATACTCTGGAGTTTGCCGGTATCCTACCAACACTGGCCTCACCCACTGAGCAACCTGTGCAGGTGTGGCTGGTGGTATTTGGTGTGGTTATGGGCATTGTGGTGGTAGCCGGCGTCTACCTTGTCGTCTCTGGTGTCAAGGAGCGCAGGAAGTGAGTAGACCCAAATATACACTACCGGTTAAAAGTTTTAGAACTGCTCAATTTTTCCAGTTATTTACTGCAATTCAAGTCATTCAAGTCCAATGAATAGCTTGATAACTGAAAAATAATGTACATTTCAGAATTATACAAAAAGGCCTTTTTCAGGGAACATAAAATGGGTTAAAATTTAAAGCTGTTCTGCAAGTCTCAGTTTCAACTGTGAAGAGAAGACTTCGAGCTGCAGGTTTAACAGGATGAGTTGTGTATGTGTGTTTTAATTATATGTAGATATTACAAGTCTGTCTATGCAGTTGTATGTTTTTACCATCAGAGCTTTAGTCTGCCCGTTTTCACAAATGATATCTTGACTTCACATAGACTTGGTGACTAAATGAGTAAAATAAAAATATTCCAATTAAATTAATTATGTGCATAATGTTAAGGAATATTGTTTTCTGTGTTTATAGGAAAAAACCTGGTGTGGAGAACCCCTATGAGTCATCCACTGATGGACAAAACAACAAAGCCTATGATGACAGTGACAATGAGCAAACTGGATTCTGAGTCTACCGCTGTCGTAGTAGATCAGAGGGAAGATCAGTACTTGTGTCCAGTGATCTCATAGCCTTCCCAGAAATGGGAAAGTAAAGCTTTAAAAGTTCTCTTCTTCTTTCATCAGTGCTGCATGGCCTCCAATCAACAATAACAGAACATTAACAGTGCTAAATGTGAAGCATTATGCTGAAGGTTGTTAATTGGCAACAGTGAATAACCCTGTTAATGAACAGTATCCTTAATTGACATTTACATAGTATACTTCCATGTGAGTGTCATTAAAGTGTTATTATACAGTATTTTGTGATACAATAAGTAACAAGTTTAACACACTGCCTTACCTCCCTTTTTGAAACCCTTTTTACTTACCTGTGCAATTATGTATATTTAACTGTTTTGGTAATAAAATAATAACAATAATAATAATAATAATAACAATAATAATAATAATAATAATAATAATAATAATAATAATAACCGGTTTAAAGTATCATTTTAAAAATAAAGTTCATAATTGAAAAAGTTAGGCAAATTCAAGTCACATTTATGATGATGCCACCTACGTGTCAAAATGCACACTTCAATCACAGCACACATTTCGTTTTAGTCTAGTTTACTGTGTTTTCATATCAAACCTGAGAGATTTCCTAAAGTATCAAATCTTGTCATTATACACCTAGATGCTAAAGAAAAATGATCAAATAAAAACATGAATGTTGCATTAAAAAAATTCTGCTACACAGTTTACCAATGGAACTTTTTTTTACTTGTCAGCTGCGCATGTGTACAAAAAAAGAAGACATTTCTTTCGCAAGCAGTGAGTGACCATTAAGCGAAAAGGAGAGTAGTACATTTGCATGAGTTGATATTATACAATCAAAGCCTAAAGGTGTGATTTCCAGGACGTCTGAGATGTGTTATTAAAAAAGAATTCGAAATATGTTTGGTTGTGTTAATGCATTGGGCCATTATTTATCGTTCATGTAATGTGTCATTTTTCCTTACAATGTCTTATAATATATTGGAAACAGTATTGTTGTATCAAACATATAGATTATACAATATGAATTCAAAAAAGAAGTGTGGCTCTGAATCAAAAACTTGAATGTGTTTGGTGAGAGCATGCATTAAGACTTTCAGTCAGCCTCAAAGTGATTCTAGCAAATCTTCAGGCAACTCAGAAACTTGCGGTTTGTGGTACGGGTGCTGCCAGTTTCAACTGAGGATGTAAGTCAGATGGCGGAAGGAATACTTTGAGGATCTCCTCAATCCCACAGACTTACCTTCTGTAGAGGAAGCAGAGCCTGGGTACAAGAAGGATGACCCATTCATCACTTGGGGTAAGGTCACTGAGGCAAGTAAAAAATGAAAGCGTAACACTACAGTTGGTGTCTGAGATCATTTTCCACGTCATCTCTCAGGTAGGGACATGTGGAATGACAGCTGTGTAAAGGCATAGCCTTAAAGAGTTAGAGAACTATGGATTTCTGCAGCAGCAGAATTTGAAACATGGATGTTGGTTTGTGTTGTTGAACCAGGTCACACGAAATATTTACAAGAATTTTTTTTAAAAATGTAACTGACTTTTCTGAGTCCTGAAAATGCAGAGGAAAATGACTCTCCGTCACTTTTGAATGATGAAGAGGAAGGACTGATCCACTGTATGTCCATCCAGGGTTGCCACGCCCACTGTGTCTGTGTTGCAAACGTTGATGAACCAACCGCTATACAATGCTGACTCAAATCTCCGTCGTCTCGCTGAGTCACCCTTCATGTAAAACACAAAGGAGAGGGTACTCTCATCGCTCTTGGAGATCTGCTTCAGCCTCTGCTTCTCACATGTCTAAAGGGATGAAAGCGTGGATTAGTTTGCTTGAAAATGGCAATTTCCTTATAAACATCTTCAAGTCACAATGAAATGAAGTACAACTGAGACAACAACGATTGTCGAACTGAGACAACGAACTGAGACAACAAGACGTTTCACCTCTCATCCGAGAAGCTTCTTCAGTTCTAACTATCTAGAACTGAAGAAGCTTCTCGGATGAGAGGTCTTCAAGTAACTTAAAGAAGTCCAGACGCTTTTCTTTGCAAGCTCCTTTGACTAATACTTAACTCTAACTCAATCTCCTAATTATTTCATTTTGCAAATGATTTCAATTCTGATGAAGATGATCTCTTCATTGTGGCACCTGTTAGTGGGTGGGATATATTCACCAGCAAGTGAACATTTTGTCCTCAAAGTTGATGGGTTAAAAGCGGGAAAAACGGGAAACAGTAAGTATTTCAGTGAGTGTGACAAGGGCCAAATTGTGATGGCTAGATGAGTGGGTCAGCACAGCTCCACAACTGCAGCTCTTGTGTTCCTGGGCTGCAGTGGTCAGTATCAAACATGGTCTAAAGAAGGAACACCAGTGACCCAGTGACAGGCTCATGGGCAGCCAAGGCTCACTGATGAACGTAGGGAGCGAAAGCTGACCCTACATGCATCAGACTGCTGAAAAAGTCGATGCTGGTCCTAAACAAAGTGAAAGAACTAGAAAGGCGTGAGAATGCAGAGTGCATCGCAGTTTGTTGTGTAAGGGACTGCATAGCCACAGCCCCTGCTGTTCACCACTGAAAACACCAGCAATGGGCATGTGAGCATCAGAATTAGACTGTGGAGCAGCTACAGATGATGGTCTGGTTTTGTTTTACATTACGTACCTGGAAACACCTGGCACCAGGATGTTCTATGGGAAGAAGGCACGCCAGTGAGGCAGTGTGACGCTTTTATATATATTCTTCTGGGAAACATTGGGTCCTGCCATTCATGTGGATGTAATTTTTGACAAGTACCACATACCTTTTTGTTGCAGACCATGTACACCCTTTAATAGAAATGGTACTTTCTGAAGACTGTGGCCTCTTTCAACAGGCTAAAATGCTCTTCCACAAAGCAAAAGTGTATCAGGAATGGTTTGAGGAGCATATCTTCAGTTTGAGGTATTGACTTGGTCTCCAAATTGCCCCAGATCTAAATCCAATTGAGCATCTTTAGGATGTGCTGGACAAAAAGTCTGACCCATGAAGGTCTCACCTCATAACTAAAGGGATCTGTTGCTAACATCTTGGTGCCTGATACCACAGTCCATGCCTCAGTGGGGAAGGCTAATTTTGGGACCAACACAATATTAGGCAGGTGGTCGTAATGTTATGCCTAATCTGTGTGTATTTAAATTTTTGATATTACTACTAATTTGAGATGCTAATTATTCTGCTATTATATACTTTTTGTAACATAACTCTGTCTAAGCAAATCTTTTAAAGTGAGAAGTGTATCTACATAGAACAAAGGACAGAAACAGGCATGCAATGCTTTCATCCCCTGAACAATGATGGCTGAGTCCAGAGAAACAAATGTTTATCAAGCCTTTTTTTTCACTGCCATGATTCAGTCAAAATCAATAGCGTACACTTATTACCTCCACTTTAAGGAACACCCTGTCCGCTTGCTTGCAGCACATGAGGAAGCAGTTGGAATCGGTGAGGTTTAGCACCACTGGCATCCCACTGGAACCCCTTCTGAAACCGCTTGACTTGTAGTAGTAGATAGTAATTTTCTCTGAGCACAAAAGGAAACCAAAATAATGAGAGCAGTTTCTCTATCAGAACAGAGTATTTTCTTACTCTACCTAACACTGGAGTAAATGTGAATGATGACAGCTTCAGTAAAAACTCATCTGAAAACCACGAGTGCCACGTTGATGTGTCCTGCTCTGAAAGACAAACCTGGATTTGGAGAAGCATAGACGATCTTCTCAGAACAGATACCTCGGAGGTATTGGCGAGTGGCCAGATTTTCAATTAAAACATTCGACAACTTTTCCTGCCGGAAACTGCCGCCTCCTCTCGGAACTGAAAGTAAGAATGGGAACAAGGGCCCCTGTTTATAAGTCATATCCCTTTTTAAAAACAACGGTGACTGCACTGACCGTTTTCAAACTGTGATTTCACAGCAGTGGTCTTGTGTTCTTTACATCGATCTCGACTTTCACAGGTTTCATTTTTCCTTTATGAGATTTAATTTTGCCAGTTGAAGGCAGTTGTACAACACATAAGTTATCTATAGGGGTCTGCAGAAAAACTGCCTAGTCAAGGTCATAACAGCTGCCAGAACACATTTTGGTTCATGGGTGTAAACATGCGACCATTCTCAGTAGCTTCCTCTTTAGATAACCACAAATATACAGAAGCAAAAGAAATACCCAGTTGCCTCACAACATTCAAACACTTTAATGCATTAAATACTGTAAATATTGCTGTTAGCAAAGTTAATTATGGGAAAAGAAGAAAAGCTGGGAGAAAAGGCAGGAGAGTAAAACTGCTTTTACTCACCGAGCGTCACCGTGCTGGATTCTGCCACCATGATGATGTCATTAAATGAACATCCTGTCTTATCACAGCCCCTGCCTCTCACCAGAGAGATGCTAGTTTTTGTCATCTCAACAACAAACATCTCATTCTCCTCAGTTTTCGCTTGGCAAAGATCCTCTTCAATATTCCCCGTCTCCTTTTCTTTTTCCTGCGGCTCCACTACAGTTCCCTCCAGGTCATCCTCCCTTGTCATCTCCCAGCTAAAGCTGATGAGTGTGGGCTCTTTAGAGACTGGTTGTAAAGTGTCTTCAGTCAGGGATGTCTGCTCAGTGTGGTCCTCTTCCTTGGCTGGTTTGCACACTGTCTGAAGAGAACGAAGAGAAACAGGATAAATACCCCCCAAAACCAAAATAAACACAGAAAAAAGATGTTCGCAGGTAGCATTTACCAAGATTATGAAGAACATAAGCACAGAAATTTGAATCACATTACACAATTTCATAATGTTTACATATATAAAGTGAAACACAATGAATTGTTTATTTTATTTTTATTTTATTTTTAATCTTCTAAGACTGTATCTGAAATAATATCTCTAAACTAGAAGTCGTCAACTCACCAGCATTGGACTCCCCTCAGCTATCATCTTTGCCAGCTCCTCAGGTGTAAGATCATTCAGGTCCATGCCATTTATCTGCAGAAGCTTGTCTCCTTTTCTGATAAAAATAAACAGTAAATAAATAAAATAAATGTACAATGTGCTTTACTGAGCCCTTTTGTGTTTGGCAGATGTAATAAAAGGAGTTAGAGTGTGTTCATAAATAATAATTTACTAGTTTTACTCTTTAAAGGGGTTATTTTTTCCACTACAGAAGGTCTCGTGAGTACACTGAGCTAGAGATGAACACAAAAAAAATCCACCCAAAATTGGAATAAAATTACAAAATAAGGCAACAGAATTATATAATACATCTTAGTTCATTTGCTCAATTCACCTATAATATTTCACAGTTTCAAACTTTTCTGGCATCATGTTGAAACGATTAAGTGGTAGAATTTGAAAACAGTGAAAATAAGAGAAAAAACAGGATTACATAATTAGGTATGCAACAAACTGAGATACTCCAAACTGAACTCATGCTCAAAGAAAGAAAGAAAAGAAAAAGAAATTCTGCACAAAATGCTGACTTTAAGTAATTTTATCACATTTAAATTTTGTAATTTTGTTACATTTTACGATGTAAAATGTTCCATTTAATGGGATCTGGTCGAATGTCAATGTACTTGACTGGTATATGTTCATTTTATACCAAGTTTATTTCAGTTTATTCCTTAAGAATTAATTATTGCAATAAATAAACATCTTTCATCACTGCTTCATGTTTAATGAGGGTGAAAAATAGAAGGCTCAACATGTAAACTGGAGAGAAAACCTCAATGTAAATATAAATAAAAACTAAGAGAGTTATATGTTTTTACCAAAAACATGGTCTTGCTAAAAAAAAAATTTTTAAAAATCCATAACATGAAGTTGGATGTCTGTGCAACGTTATATGACTACAACTTTTGAGGCTCTACAGTAAAACTGTCTTAGCTTCTTTCATAGCAGTACCTGGAAAATAGTTGAAGAGAAAGAATCCGCTAAACAGAGAGCAAATTATACCTGACATAAAGTTTTCCTTCATTCTCCATTTTGTACTTCACCACATTCTCCACTACATATTGATGCTTTCCCTCATGGATCTTGTGTGCAATCAGCACACCGCCCTTAACCAGAGAATCCTAAAATGTACAAAAAGAACACAAACTTTAACTTTTCTCAACAAAGACAATCATGCCAGGATTATCTTTTAAGTGTATCTCACTACATGTTGTACTTATTGTTAGGGGACAGTTAAGCGTTGTCACCTACCTTCATGTCCATGGTGGCACCAATGTCCGCTCTAGATAGCGTTATACCACTGACTGAAACAGACTCCGGTGAAAGTGGCAGTTTATAAGTCTTCCAGTGTGTCTGTGCTTCAACTTATTATAGAACAAAAAGGGGAACTGTGAGTGAGAAAACACTGACACTGTCGTGGATGGGGAACTGCTGTCAAAAAAGGAAGTAAGAGAAGATTAGAACATTTTTGTTTGAAAGCAGAACTTGTGAAGCATGTGGAAGAAGAAGGTTATGATTTAACTGTAAAATATCTTTTCAATAGCAACAAATACAGTGCTTTGATAAGTCACACACTTCCCCTTTTCAAAACTGATAGAGACTAAAATATTATCACATAGTATTACTATATAATATTACTCATATAACATCCCTTTTTTTCTTTCACTGCGTTTAAACTTCCTTAAAAACACCAATAATAAGGATTAAAAAATTAGCATGAAAACCTGAAAAGCTTCAAATATAAATCCCAACAGTCAGATTTACAGTGTATCACAGATCACATGTAAGCTGTTGGAAAAAAAAATCTCTTCCCCTGTGACAGTTATGATGGAAATATATAATGTAACTAAATATCAGTTCATTTTTACCCGTGTCTGCCGGTACATTAGAAAAAACACAGTACCAGATTGTGAACGTCTAATGCAAGTAAAATTCCTCCATTCAAAACCGTAAGTACAACGTTCACTATTAATTTAACACTTAAAAAGTAAAAAGATGCCACTTCTTAATTTGTACATTTCACTGCTTTAAACAGAGACGCTACCAACGGGGGGCCGGGGGGCCCTGGCCAGCCCCCTGGCAAAACTGTCCTAATAATGTAAAAATGTTGCAGAAAAGCTGGTGCCAATCCCTGGACAGATCGCTGGTGCATCTCAGGGACAACACAGAGACAGGCAACATGATCGAATGCTTATTTTTCTTTCCTGAACAAGTTTGCTCTTAAAGTTAACTCCACTCTGAGAAAGTGAATCTTAAGCTGCTTCTGCTGACAATCATTAAAGTGATGGTTGGGACTTCCAGTCAATTAAAACAGATTAACATGGATTTCCAAATGTTTTTTGATTTTCATATGTACCTATTTTATGTCACATCAACTTTAATAGCGGGAAATTAACCAGGCATACAACTCCCAAAAAGTGGATTCTGTTCATCTGGACTTTTTTCAGTGGGAGAAACATTATGTCACTCATCCAAGTAACTTCTTCAGTCTCATATAGGGCATGTTTTTCAAGTAACCTATATTTGATGACAGCATATTAAAACTGGAAATTCAGTTTTTGGTGTGCCCCCCCCATATTTTTAGTGGCCCCTATAAGGCCACCCCTATGAAAAAATTCTGGATGCACCCCTTGCTGTACAGTACATATTTCATATTCTTGCTCAAAAAAGGTCAACCTATCATGAGTTCAGAAAAACAATTTTTCTTAAGTTTATTTTAAGAAGGTAATTTTTGTGATGCCTCCATGCTACCAGCAGCCATGGCTACCCAACTGAGAGAGATGGATTTAAAGCAGGGTTGTCATTTTAATACACATTTAATTACTATCTTATTATAAAAAAAAAGAAGTCAGCACAAATCTCTGAGCTTATAATGTATATACATATTTATAATTTGACCTCCACACAGTGTATTGCTTATCATTATTTGTGTTGAATTACAGTGTTTTAGCCCACTTTAATGACATGAAACGTGATATAGTGTCGCAACAAAAACGTTGGGATGTTCCGCCTCGGGAGTGAGAACAAGCTCAGTGTCCTCACAATTTTTGTCCTCAGCACCACCTAGTGGAGGACACCATGATTTATTAGAGAAGAGAAGAGAGGGTTTCTGGATATTTACTTTACAGCATTGAATGCTGAACTCCTATTTAAAGTAATTTTGAAATTTTCCACAAGAGCCTGTTTATGTGGATCATTGTTTGATTTATTATTTGAATAAATCATAAAGCTGTTTTTCATTCTTTTAACACTGCACATCATCACCAAATGGATGAAAGAAAGTATTAACAATTGAGATGAACTCATTTTAAATGATGGTTTTAGAATATTTAATAGATTTTTTTTTATCCCTCTTTGGATCTTGATGTTATTGATAAATGGCAGTTTGCTTGTCTTTCCTTTTGCCTTCTAGAGACCCAATAACAAAACCAATGTTGTTTTTGAATCTAATTATCCAGTCACACATGTGTGATGTGTCTGTAAGAGTTAGTTTTCTTTTCTCTCTTTTTTTCTTTTTTTTGGGCATTTTTTTATTTTTATTTTTATTTATTTATTTGATTTGCCTGTCCCTTTTGGATCTTTAGCCATCAGAATTGTTGTCTGAAGGCCAAGAAAGATGCCAAGCGAATTTACTTTACCAATTGGATCATCATGGCCTTGCCATATTGGTCCATTTAATTATGTATTTAATTATAATTATGTATTTATTTGCTTTGATTTTCGGTTGTTACAGACGGGACAGACATGACTAGGGGATAGGACAGGGAGAAAGAATGAAAGAAAGAGAGGGAGGGAGGGAGAGAAAGAAAAATAGAGGGGAGAAGAGACGGTGAGAAAGGGGGGAAGAAAAAAAAGAAAAAACAAATACAACACCTGGATCACCTGTATAAGAAAAAACAGAAGAGAAAACAAACCAAAAAGAGTAACATAATAAATACAACACCATCACAATAAACTAGCTAACAGTAGATAACAGTAGATACTAAATACTAAATGTTATTGTGCAGTACACAAGATCGACAGCGCACAATGTGCTTTGAGGTAGCACCCAAGAAAGGTGTAGTTTGTGTCTGTGAACACCCGTGTGCACACCTGTGTGGATCAGCACGCTTCTATTCAGAACTGAAGAAGCTTCTCGGATGAGAGGTGAAACGTCTTCAAACAACTTAAAGAAGTCCAGACGCTTTTCTTTGCAAGCTCCTTTGACTTCTATTCAAAAGGTTTCTCCATGTAACGATCTGCTAGGGAGTGTGGGGAGCCATAGCCCCGTGCCCCAGGGCATGAAGCAGGTATTGAGGAGATCCAGGCCCCAGACATCCAGAGGCCCCAGAGTACGAGGACCCAAGGAGGACCACCACAGGGGCAACTGTGCCACCCTCCTGGGAAGAGCTGAGGAGAGCCCCAAACGAGAGGTCACCCAGCAGCCGCGGAGCAGAGGCCAGAGGGGGTTGCTGTGACGTGCCCGCGGGCTCTTCCGGCAGCCATCTGTGCCAGAGAGGACCAGGCCTCAGGCCCAGAGGCCAGAGGCTTGAGGGCACCCCACCCCCCGGAAGGGGCCCAGCCGGGCCACAGGCACCAGGTCCCGCCAATCGGCCACCAGGAGTGAGTTAGTATTTTCTAACTGGTTGATTTCATTGTGCGGATGGGAGTAAATATATATTACTGTCTGTAAGCGACTGTGTGAACATTGCTTTATTGTAAAGATGAAGGTCACCTGGACCCAAACCTAGTAATTCAACAAAAATAATGGTCAGTGAGACAGTTTGTGACAAGAAGGTCATGGCGGCTCATTGTGCAGACTGTCCTGTAATTATGAAACAGAATGTTTTGTTAATTCACAGAAAATGTCCTTCTTTTTGTCTTCATTTATTGTTTTTCTCCAAAGAAAACAAAAAACCCCCCCACACAAACAAATTTCCTTAGGCAGTGAAAAAAGAATTTTTTTCTCATTTAGTTATTTATCTGTTACTTAATTACTTTAGTGCTGTATAAATAGCCTTGGGGGAGGTCTTCATCAATAAGACAGTCTGTAAAACTCATGAAAATGTATACCCTCCTTCACTTATTATTAGTCTTTGTTGGGACAATTCTGGCCCCTGGGCTTTATGTTTGACACACCTGTTTTAAAGCCTCCAGAGAATATCAGCGCTGTCCACAGCTAGAAGCCTGTAAAAACTTTCTTTTTCACATAACTGTATGACTGCAAACATATCTGTTATGCAGGGACTTTGATGCTTTGCTGCTATGATGAGTTGTTACTAAATTTATACAAGGGCGCACACACAAACAAGCAACCACACATTCTGCAGTTATTTCCAGCGTGCCCTGTGGAGCCACTGACATCCAGCTAAATCCGTAGATGTTCAGGTGGATTGAATTACATGAGAAGCCCACTCCACTGTTGCAACATTGGTAACAGCGGCACACGGTGGACCCTCAATCCAGTGTACTGGCCAGTTTTTCACCATCTCAGAAGCCAAAATAAGCTGATGAATAAATCCAAACAGGTACTGTGACATACTAAACATACAATGAGAAATTGTCCATGAAAGTGTGTGTCTGCCTCCTGAGAAGTTTTTTAAAACTCTACCTGGGAGAGTTTTAAAGACTCTTACAGTATTGATAAGTATGTAGCATTTTATCTGCTTAAATCTTGGCAAGAAAACAAGACAGCTTAAGTCTGTATTTGCATGTACGAGTGAACTTTGACAAACTGTGTTGTTTGAAGTTTCCTAAATTGCTTTTCAGAAACTCATACCAACTTTCTCGGTGTTGTCTTTAATAAAATCAGCAATATAAGAGTTGTACTGTTTGACATCATTACTGTATGTGTGTTTCAGATGGTGATACACGATGTGTTAATAATAGGAAGTGGCCCTCATGCCCTAACCCTGGCTAGCTTGCTATGTAGCAATGACTGGGACCCAAAATCAGATGTTAGACATGACTCGCTGTTCTCCACCTCCACCACCAAGTCTCAGCCAAGCACAGAAACATCCAGCAACAAGCCCAATACTAGCAAGATGAAGAGGAAGAAGAGGGTAACAGATGGTATGGTGTGCTTATCTTTACTTTCTCAAAACTGGGAAGATGTTAGGATTGTTACTGAGAATCTGAGTGTTCACAGGGAAACATTTTCAGGCAATTAACCAAACCGTCCAGGCAAAATGAACTGAAGACAGATTGTTTGAACCGTTTTAAGCAGAAATACCAGACGTAATGTAGATCTGTTTATAAAGGGTTTGCACTTTATTTTAAAAAGCAGAGAATATTATTGGGCTGTTGGTCAGACAAAACAAGTAGATTGAAGAACATGAGTGATGA